TTTCAACTGTAATTTGTTTTTATACTGAAGCCCTGTTGATGTTGGTAAGGGACTGAGGAAGGAAAGCATTCCATAATCCTATGACTAAATCTATTTTCAGCATATCTGAGTCCCTAGCTTGTCACCATCAAAAATGTCTTTTTCCCCACTCCCCCTACTTGCAGACTGGAAGGCTAAAGAGGTCAGAGTTGTCTAACAGCTCATCCCCCAGGTCACAAAAGACTCTGGTAGTTTCCCCTGAGGCTACACCTTTGTTAAGAATACTGTGGGCTGGGGCTGGGGACAGAGCTCAGGCAGTTCAGCATCCTACTTCAGCTTGGATCTTGATCTCATGGTTCATGGGTTCAGGCCCCTCATCAGGCTCTGTGCTGATAGCTCAGAGCCTGGAGCCTGCTTCAGATTCTGTGTCTCCCTCTCCCTCTCAGCCCTCCCATGCTCATGCTCTCTCTCTCAAAAATAAATATTTTAAAGTTTTTTTTTTTAAAGAATACTGTGGGCTGTATTTCTAAACGGTTACTTTTCCCTTCCCCCTGCAGAGAGCCTGAGCAAATCTGGTGGGGTTCCTGGATGTAAAAAGTATGGGGCTCTCAGGAGTTTCCATCTCCTAGCTAGTCCACACTCGGCTTCCAGCAATTTACTAATGACCATTTAAGTGTACCTACTAGTTACTGCCTCCAGCAGATTCTGTCCCTGATAAGTGAATCTCAAGTGTGATTTTCTGCATTTACCTATCTCTCCAGTTTTCAGAGTGGCTGTTTGCTCTGTGACCTCAATTACCAGGCAGATTTTTAAAAAGTCATTGATTTTCAGTTTGAACAGCTTTTCTCTTATTATAAAGACAGTTGTGATTAGTTTTAAATTCTTTTCATGTCAGAACTGAAACCATAATTTTTGATTTTTTAAAATTAATATAAAACCACGTAAACAAAAGCTCTTTGGAGTATTCAACCCATGAGAGTGTAAAGGGTCCTAGGCCAAAAGTATCTGAGAACTACTGTGTTACTATGGTCAGTCATGATTCACACTATAAATCCTAAGTTAACAATAAACTGCTCTTTAAAACAGCCACACCAAAAACTTACATTGTGATATTGGCGGGTTTTCAAAAAGGTTTTATTATTTATTTGAAGTGGAAAAACAAACAAGAAGAAACATTTGCAATTCATGACGGGAGTAATGTAGCCCATTAAACCAAGGTAACCTCAGCACAATCACCACTCTGGCTTTGAAGAAGGAAAAAAAAACGTATGATTGAATTTTCGGATTTCTTCTTTTTCTGCTCCTCTTACATTGTAATAAAGTTCTGAACTCATACTGCTACCCTTATCAATTCCATGCAACAAAACTATTCTGAATACATCCAGGGGCGCCTGGGTGGCTTAGTCAGTTAAGCGTCCGACTTTCGCTTAGGTCATGATCTCGCAGTTCGTTGGTTCCAACTAGGCATAAAATAATTCCTAATCTCAATAATCATTCAGATGGTAAGGAACACAAATATGACAATTATTTCATAAAGTCCCAAATCACAAGAGACTTACAGTACCTAAAACTTCTAAGTGTAGTACAGAAAAATTAGTAATTAATTCTGTAGTGGAGGTCTATGCTTGGTTCTCAACAATAAAGAGGATTGTGCCTACTCTCCAAAAAAAAAATTTTTTTTTTAAAAAAAGACATTGTAGGTAGAGAGAAAAGCATGTGCAAAGGTAGAGAAGACCAGAATGCAGGCAGGCATCAACAGTAAGAAAGGCTTTATATGCTAGGCTAAGGAACAAAGATGGTGACTCAGGAGCAGGACAGAGGTCAGTGCAGAGGATGAAACAGAGAAAATGAAAATGAAAGCTAATGACCAGTGAAGATACTCCTGGAATTATTCAAATGAAAGTTAGTGCTTGACAACGGAAGAGGCAGAGGTGGAAAAAGTTGGGATTCCAAGGAAGGAAAGAAGGAAGGAAGGAAGAGAGGGAGGAAATCAAGACTTGGTGATTTATTGGATATATGGGAATGAAAGAAAGCGAAGGACCACAGCACCCTAGTTTTCTGACTGATGGCTTTCAGCTTTATGTAAGGAAGGCAACACCCAGTTGGCAATATTGATCTTGTTCATTAACTTGAACTCTGAAAAAAAAAAAAAGAGTATTTTTCTTTGGAGACTGTCCAAACAGGCTACCAGGGATCACAGTTAACTTATGACCATAGGAAGCAGGACTTAGGGAGGGGGAAAAAAACAACCAAAACAAAACAAAACAAAAAAAAAAAAACTTGTTTAGATACCTTAGAATCAGTCTGGACTTCTAATCTTTGCCAACATGAAAACTAGGACACTCACAACTAAGGACTTTTCACTTTCTGACTGCTGCACATATCTGATCCTTTGGTGGGGTTTCTCTTTCAATCTTGGTAAGTCCTTCTAATATACACTCTGGATAACAGATTATGCACAAAAAATTACATTTCCATTCTTCTAACACCATTCCACAGATAAAAAGAACGAAAAGGGTACTGTACAAGTATCTCCTGCTTTCCCCAAATTCCCAGGACACCACCTAGCTTTTATGAAAGCCCTACTTTATTTAACCCAGCAAGGTCTTATTTTCATAATAGCAAAAACCCTCTTCACATTTCTTTTGGGTGTTAAAACCAGGCACCAATGGAGACCTTGGTAAAAGCAAAGTGGAAAAACTGGAACTTTTGGAAAGCCAAGGATGCTCTAAGGCTTTTTAGGAACACTCCACAAACCCAGAATAGGAACTCCTCAAACAAAATTAACAGGACGCAGAGTAAGATTTCTATGTTCCAAAGAGAATGCCACCAACCATACCCGGCTGTCAGCCCAAATCCGAAGAATGCTGACATTCCAATTTTATTTGAATCTAATTCTCCGGGATTTTTTCAAGATGAGGTTGACAGGACGGAGCAGATTTCCCTGACGATGAGTGATGTTGAGCACCTTTTCATGTGTCTGTTAGGTATCTAGATGTCTTCTTTGGAAAGTGTCTATTCATGTCTTCTGCTCATTTATTTTTTTTTTAATATTTGAGGAAGAGAGAAAGCACACACATGCTTGGTTGAGTGGAGGAGGGGCAGAGAGAGAGAGAGAAACAGAGAACCCCAAGCAGGCTCCCGTACTGTCAGTGCAGAGTCTCACATGGGTCTTGATCTCAGGAACTGTGAATTCATGACCTGAGCTGAGATCAGAATGGGCATTTAACCAACTGAACCACCCAGGTGCCCCCTTCTGCCCATTTCTTAACTGAGTTACTTTTGGGGTGTTGATTTTCATAAGTTCATTACAGATTTTGGATATTAGCCCCTTATATGTCATTTGCACAAATCTTCTCACAATCCAGAGGTCACCTTTTACTTTTGTTTCCTTTGCTACGCAGAAGGTTTTTATCTTGATGAAGTTCCGATAATTCATTTTGTGTTTTTGTTCCCCTTGCTGCTAGAGACGTGTCTAGTAAGAAGTTGCTACGGCTGAGGTCAGAGAAGCGCCGCCTGTGTTTTCCTCTCGGATTCTGACGGTTTCCTGTCTCACATTTAGGGTCTTTCATCTATTTTGAATTTATTTTTGTGTATGGTGTAAGAAAGTGGTCCAGTTTCATTCCTCTGCATGTGCTGTCCAGTTTTCCCAACACCATTTGCTGAAAAGACTTTTATTCCATTGCATAGATTTTCTTTCCTGCTTTGTTCAAGATTAGTTGACTATACAATTGTGGCTCCATTTCTGGGTTTTCTATTCTGTTCCGTTTGATCTGTGTCTGCTTTTTGTGCCAGTACTTTACTGTCTGGATGGCTACAGCTTTGAAGTAAGACCTGGTGATTTATTAAATGTATGGGAGCCTTTACTTTTTTGACTCTTGGTCATTCAGCCTCATTAAGGAAGTCAGAATTCAGTTGATAATGCTGACTTCACTCCTTAAATTGAAGATTGGGGTTATTGAAGAAAAGCATATTTTCCTATGGACTGCCCAAAATGTTAACATGGATTAAAGTTAATTTATGACTACAGGAAACAAGATATATAGAATAAAAACACTGATGTAGACCAGCTAGAATAAATCTGGAGTACTGAAAAATCTTTGCAAACCTGAACCTTTACATTTCAGGACTTTGGAACTTGATGCTCCATTTATCTATGACCTAACTTCCTTTTTGCTTTCAAAAGATGAAAAACTCAACTGCACAAGCCTTTCCAGTTAGAGGATGGGTGGAGGTGGGGGGGAGGCACTAGTGGCCTTCCTATCCCTTGGGACAACTAGAAAGTTCCATCAGCTCCCTTTTTCGGGACCCAGAAGCGAAAGGTCCCTCAAGTCCCGGCTCGGATGTCAGTCCACCAGCGCCGGGGCCCCACTCCCGCCGGCCCGGGACAGGTTTCTGCTCACGGCAGCTGCCGCCCCTCCCGCCGCTCCTTCCCCAGCGCTGAGGCCTGAGGGCGCCAGGTCAGCCCGCCGCCGTCCCGCCCTTGCGCCCGCGGCTACCGACGGGGTGACGTCCGGCCGGCGCCTCGGCTCCACCGCAGCCCGTGACACCGTGCGAACCTCCGCCCGCTAAAGCCACGCTGCGGGCACCCACCCACCCGCTGCCCGCGGGGACGACGTGGGGAGGGGGGCGCGTGGAGGTAAAAGAACCCCCAACTGCACGGCCCGACCCACCGCCCAGGGGCTGCTGTGGGCGGGAAGGCCGCGGCGTCCACCGCAGGCACGGCGACGGTCGGCAGCAGGTCCTCCAGATCGCGTGCAGCGACGGCACCCCTCCTACGACGTTGGACTCTCCTCACAGGACCGACCCTCCCGGGCGGCCAGACACGCCTCGTCCACACCGCCTGCTATTTCCCCGGAACGACGTCGAAAAAGCCGCCTGGCTCCCCCCGCGCCTGCGCACAGCTCCTGTGGCCGTGGCGCCGCCCGGGCGCATGCTCCGTCCTTGAGCCGGTCCCCGGCAGGTTTGGAACCGCGTTGCCGAGGCTGGCTGGCGCGCGCATGCGTATCTCCGGTGCCTGGTCCTTTCCCCACTGGACGAGGAGCCGCGGGTCTTGGAATTGAAGCCCGCCGAGCCGGAAGTCGCTGTGCTTCTTCACCTCCCTCCGCACCGGCGGAAACACTAGCCGTGGAAGAGAGGTTCCGGAGTTGGCGTGGGCTGGCGGCCGCAGAATGGAGCCCCGGGCCGAGGACGCGGGACTGAGCCGCCGCCTGGTGCTGGCGTCTTCCTGGGATGCTGCCTGCGGGGCCCTGGCCCGGAGCCTCCGTCTCACCCGGGCTGATCTCGGCGGCCCGGACTTGGACTGGGAGGAGCTGCTGGCGCCGCCTGCCCCGGGGTGCGCAGGGCCGGCGGGGACTCGGGCCGCGGCTCCGGGATGGTCGCGCTCCTGCGGAGCCGTGCGGGGAGAGGGCGGGGCCCCGGGGTGCGGGAAGGGACCTGGCGGCGGGGGACCCGCACCTCGGCGGGTCGGAACCGGGCCCGCCTCCCTCCCCGAGACGAGCCGACCGGGGCCTCTTGTCGACCCGGGTGGGCGTTAGAAAACCCAACCGTCGAGAATCCCCGTCAGCTTAATTATGAGAAAGATCCGCCTTTGCCTTTTACTGTATCCTGCTCCCCACACTTGTGCCCCTGTTTCCCACTCTTGTGCGCACAGTAGGTGCCCAGGCAACTTTTTCTGTTGAAGGAGAGGTCCTACAGAGGCTTGAGTCGCCAGTCGAGGAAAAAGTAGAGGGGACAGCCCCGGTGTCTGGAGTGTGCCCGTCTCCTTGTGAATCTGCTGGGTGCTTGGCAAGGTGCGGGCAGCGCCGTGGTAAATGGAAGTGAGTTAGAAGTAGTCCCGGTGGCCCAGTAAGAGGGTGGCGAGCAGTGTTCGGACAGGTGCGCCGTGTAACCGTTCGAACGATTTTCTTTTCAGCCAAGGTCTGGTGAGTTTGAAAAGAAGCCCCGACAGCCAGGATGAAAACCCCTGCTTCCTTTACCTGAGAGGTGACCCTAACGGAGGTGAAGAAATCGTTTCTATTGGCATTTTAAGTTCAGCGAGAAATATGGAAGTGTACTTAGGAGAGGAGTACTGTGGAACCAGTAGGGGCAAGAATGTGTGTAGTGATCTGGATAACAGGTGTGTAACTTGCTCCTGCGGAAGTGCCCTCCCCACGCGGTGTGATGTGTCCTCAGCGGTTGTGGTATTTATTGATTCTCTGACACTGATGCCAGCACGAACCGAAGTTTAGACTCTTAAGAATCTTGGAGTGTGCATCAGCCCAGTTTTTTCTTTTTTGTTTTTTTTTAATTTTGGAGAGAATGACTGTGAGTGGGGGAGAGGGGCAGAGAGAGAGAATCTTAAGGAGACTCCACACCCAGGGTAGAGCCCCACTCCGGGCTCAATCGCATGACCCTCGGATCTTGATCTGAGACAAAACCAAGAGTCTGGTGCTCAACCAGCTGAGCCACCCAGGGGCCTCCCAGTGGTTTTTACAAATGGGGAAGTTGAGAGTTAACAGAATGGGGATAAGTTGGTAGAAAGTTATAGCTAGTTAGTGGAGAAGTTTAATTAGAATTGAAGTTATGATAAATGTTTCTTGTGTCTGTCTCCTTAACTCAGAGGGGTCTGTTTTCCAAATATTAATTAGTGAGTCTAGAACTTTGAACAGTTTCTTGTAGGAAGCCCATTACAAATAGTACACAAACCCAACACTGTGTCATACCAGTATACTGAATCTGTTATTATACTTTTAATTTTTTTCTGAATTATTAACAAAGATTCCGTCCTAATCTTTCTTTAATCCAACTCATAATATAAACTATTTTATTATACCACGTATGTTAGAAATAATGAATATGTTTATTGACCTTTAAAACATGCTCTGTGCTACATGATTATACATTTGCCATCTTTTTAAATTATCTTATATAGATAGTCAGATGTAGTCTTTTTACCCAGTGCAATTCAGTATGAAGGCACAGTTCCTTATGTTTTACCAGGAAACCTGAATCTCGGGATTTATGTATTGCCCTGGAACCCTTCATTTTTAAACATAACTGTTAAAAGTGATAATGAATGAAAATTTATAAAAGTCATTTCTTTTTTTATTTTTAGTGAAGATGAGAAGATTATTTTGTACAAAAAATATCTTAAATTGGAGTCCTCCACTCGTACTTGTAAAATAAAGGTAAGTAGTCACTAAATCATAACTTATTTGAAAACTACAGTTATTTTTGTACTACATAAACTTATTTTCTGATAGTTCCCTAATGCAGTAAGTCCAGTGTGGTCCCGGGTTTTAGTTGAGAAATACTAAACATGGAAGCAGAAATTCTTCTCTAAAAAATTACCAAACTTCAAGGCACCTGATTGGCTCATTTGGTTATGCTTCCAACTTCAGCTTAGGTCATGATCTCATGGTTCAAAAGTTGAGCCCCACATCAGGCTTTGCACTGAGCAATGTGGAGCCTGCTTGGAACTCTCTCTCTGCCCCACCTCCCCTGCTTGCTCGCGCGCTCTCTCTCTCTCTCAAAATAAATAAATTTTTAAAACATCAATATTCTCCTTTTAAAATAAATCAACATTTACTAGCTGTGGCAGTGCCATGTTATATGCTATTATTAATAAAGTGGTATCGTACTTTTAATTTCAAGCCTTGGAAAACTGAGTTTAAACACATTTTTTATTTTTATGTAAAACTGAGGTGCAAAGAAAATGACAGTTTTTGTCCCAAAATATCCAAAGACAACACAGAGAAGTTCCACACAAAGGCAGTACAGAGTTAAAGGAATTTGGACCAGTATCTTCAACATGAAGAATATTGTTAAAGTGAAGTATAATGGTGCCATCAGAGTCTAGGGAAAGAGTGCTGAGCTGGAAATCAGAAGCCCTAACTATTAAATGAGCTTTGTTGGTGACGAACAAAATAGCCTTAGGCTAGTTTCCTCACCTGTTTGCACCTACCCTGTGGGTTATATAAGGAGACTGAACACAGTGAATCTCTGAGTTATTTTTAAATATTGAGTTATCTTTAAAATATTTTATCTCTGTGTTTATTATTACACAAAGTCACAGAACTGACCTTCCAAGATGTTGATATTCCAAGATACTGTTTTAGGTAGTAAATACTATTAGCTTCTAAAGTTTAAAGTGGTGCCGGGGTGCCTGGGTGGCTCAGTCGGTTAAGCGTCCCACTTCAGCTCAGGTCATGATCTCATGGTTCATGGGTTCGAGCCCAGCGTCGGGCTCTGTGCTGACAGCTAACTCAAAGCCTGGAACCTGTTTCAGATTCTGTATCTCCCTCTCTCTCTGACCCTCCCCTGCTCATGCTGTCTCGCTCAGAAATAAATAAAACATTAAAAAAAAATTTAAAGGGGCGCCTGGGTGGTTTAGTCGGTTAAGCATCCCACTTCGGCTCAAGTCATGATCTCAAAGTTCATGTGTTCGAGGCCCATGTTGGGCTTGTGCTGACAGCTCAGAGCCTGGAGCCTGCTTCGGATTCTGTGTCTCATTCTCTCTCTGCTCCTCGCCCACTTGTGCTCTGCCATTCCCTGTCTCTCAAAAATAAATAAATGTAAGAATTAAAAATTAAAGTCATTTAAACAAAGCGATTCATTTATTCAACAATTAGAATGCCATTTGATACCAGATCCTGTGCTAAGTAAGCATTTAGGAAGTAACAGTAATGAAATAAATTGGAACAAAACCCTCACATTGCTAATAGTATGGTGGCCAAGACATAATAAGTAGATTCAGTGTGCAAAATATGTCCTACATTCAATAGTAGAAAGGCTTGGGAATCAAAAAGCATGAACGGGATCACACAGAGGTTGGAATGCAGGTGTATAAATGTAATGAGATGTTTACATAGTTGTTGATGACAGTCCTTTCTTTCTTTGGTGCCACACTGAGTTTTTCGATGGTGGATCTGTGTTCACCTGCGTCAGTGTGATATATGGGCTTGTGTGTCTGAAGGTGAATGTTTTTTGACTATTTGGAAGTTCGAGGGAGTTCAAGGACTGTTTCAGTTAGGGGGACCTTACGAGGATGTCTTCTAGGGAAGTAGCATATGAAAGTTAAAATAATAGCTACGGGTGCACATTTTTCAGCCTTAATCAGTGTGGTCAGTACTGGAGATTTTAACACCTAATTCTCAGAACAACCATGTGAAACTATTGTTATTACCCTCCCTCATTTCATTCCTGATTGAGGTTTTCGCCTTTTCCCAGCATCACACAGGCTCCTAATAGAATCATCATTGAACCCAGTTCAGTCTGATTTTTTTTTTAAATGTTTTTATTTATATCTAGGAGAGAGAGAGAGAGACAGCATGAGCAGGGGAGAGTCAGAGAGAGAGGGAGTCACAGACTGAAATAGGCTCCAGGCTCTGAGCTGGCAATCAGCACAGAGCCCAACGCGGGGCTCGAACCCACGAACTGCGAGATCATGACCTAAGTGAAAGTCGGACGCTTAACCGACTAAGCCACCCAGGTGCCCCCAGTTCTGTCTGATTTTAAATTCTGTTCCCGTTCCACTTTGCCACTGGGTTGTCCATGTCACACTTAAAATGTCATTAGGTTCAGAAACATGGACAAAATGAGGCAGCCTGAAGCCCTGGGAAAACTACTGGAGTAAAAGCTGGAAGCACCAGGTTCAAAGCTCTGACCTTTACTGCTTGGGTGTCTTTTGACAACTTACAAAATCACTTCTGAACTCATTTTTTAGTATGTAAATGATCAAGCTGCCTATAGGGTCATCTTGACATTTGCTTAGAGTTCTCACTTCGAGAGGACCGACTTCTGTTGAGTATTTCAGTAATCAGGTAGCATGGGCTCTAGACAGCCTTATTTTGCATTTAATATTTATATTTACTCTGCAAGTTGCAGTATGTTAAGCTCTCCGATTGGTACGGTTTATTTCTAATCCCATAAAAAGCTAAGTGAGTAAATGAGATTTTATGTTCGCCATCCCTGTTTGCTACTTTATGTGTAGTCTGTTAGTTTGAAAGGGCTTTTTTATTTAAATACTTCTAAACCACATGATAAATTTGAATTTTTTTCTATGACTGTACTAGAGGAAACTTGAAAATGTATTTAACGTTAATTTTTTTTAAATGTTTTTATTTATTTCTGAGAGAGACAGCGTGAGTAGGGGAGGGTCAGAGAGAGAGGGAGACACAGAATCCGAAGCAGGCTCCAGGCTCTGAGCTGTCAGCACAGAGCCCAACATGGGGCTTGAACCCATGAACCGTGAGATCATGACCTGAGCTAACTTCGGACGCTTAACCGACTGAGCCACCCAGGGGCCCCTAAAGTTAATTTTTTCATTCTTGAATGTTTTACTCTTAAGTAAGAAGTAACTTTAAGTGATGATTGTTTTAATGTCCTTATTTCTGGAACTTCCTTGTTTTGTAACAGTTGCTCTCCTTTGGTGAAAAGCCATGTGTGTTCCTCAGTAGAGTTGTGGTACACATGAGGCAGGTTTCAGCCAGTTCTTCCATGAGGTCTCCTGCTCTGGGATCAAGGATAGACCTGCAGAGGGTCCAGACGATCATGGAGTCCATGGGGTCAAAGTTGTCACCTGGAGCTCAGCAACTGATGGATATGGTTCGATTTCAGCAGCAGGTGGGTAGAAATGGGTTCTGTCCGGGGACTCCCAAACATTTCAGCGTGATGGCTTTTTATAAGGATGTGTATTGACGTAAATCTTTTCTTTGAAAGTTTACTGTTGATTTGTTTTTGATTTTTTTTTTTTTTAATATTTTTATTTATTTCTAGGAGAGAGAGAGAGACAGCGTGAGCAGGGGAGGGTCAGAGAGAGAGGGAAACACAGACTCTGANTCCATGGGGTCAAAGTTGTCACCTGGAGCTCAGCAACTGATGGATATGGTTCGATTTCAGCAGCAGGTGGGTAGAAATGGGTTCTGTCCGGGGACTTCTAAACATTTCAGAGTGATGGCTTTTTATAAGGATGTGTATTGACTTAAATCTTTTCTTAGAACTTTTACTATTGATTGGACTGTTACCTTTATTTGCTTTGGTAAAATAGCATTTTGTAGACTTTCCCTTCTACAAAATATCTTACTACAGACCTTTTCAATTTTTCACAAATTTGCTCATTCATTCAGCACCTTCTTGGTAGATGAGGCACTGTTTTGAGCCCTTCAGAAGGTTTTTCTCAAGGATAGAGATAAAGAGGAAATTGGAAGAGAGTTGTGTAAAGGAATATTGAGAATAGTGGAAGAACGTGTCCAGCTCCTGAGACTACTGTTTGAAAAGGGTTGGGAATAGTGTGTTTTTAAACTATGATCCACAGAACACCTATATCATAATCCTTTCCAATGTTTACAAAACACGTATCCTCGCCACACTTTCTACCTGCTCAGTCTCCCAGAGTGGGATCCAGGAATCAGTATTTTAAACAAGGTTGCGATGTGAAATTTATGCCCGCTGTGCTTGGAGAATAACTCTTGTCAGTGCAAAGATTCTATGGAGAAACAGATTGAAGATTTTCAAAACGAAGAAGTTTTCGAAAGCAAGAAAGATTTTGTAAATAATTAGAAGAGATGAATGAATTAAATATGACTAGTTCACTGACTGATTTCTATCTTTTAAAAACTTGACTTGGGGGAAAAAGAGATGGTAGATTTATTTTGGAGAGAGAACATGTCTTTAAGTCTTAAGGTTTTATTCCTTAAGTTGTATTCATTTTCTTTGCCATGAATTAGAATCAGTGCAGAAGGATATTGAGTAAAAAGTCAAAGTGTTTTCTCAACTGTCATCCTGTTGCCAGAGGTGACTATTAATAGTTTTGTGTGTATCCTTCTAGAGTTTTCTGTGCATTTGGAAACTATACATAAACTGTCCCAGCCACCACTCATGGGTTAATGCTCTAGACCCTGTGTTGTAACTTTCTTTCCACCTACTGCTTCATGTGAGGAGGCTTGGGGGACGCCCTGGAGAAGAAAGGTGGTCCCATTCAGTCTCCCTTTCTACACGCTAATGTGGGAGAATCCTTATTTGTGGAGTGGATCCTGATGGTCTAGGACTGATTTTGGTTAACAAACCAAGACTCTTCTGGATTTCTAAGGCATGGCTTCTTGGAAAATGCCACATAAACCATTTAATTATCTGAGCATAAAATGGGGATGTTTCATGACCTGCTATGAAGTGGTTCGCCACACACCGTTTTAGAGCCTTCGCATGTCAGGTTGGACTGGGCCTGTCCTGAAGGGGAAAGAGAGGACATGGGGTGCTGTGTCGGAATCCTAGACCTCCCGCTGCTTCGCCTGTGCCTTGGGGACTACTTGTTTCCTTGAAAGTTGTATTAAAGGTTAACACTCTGAGTCATGCGGCCTGGTTTGACACTACCGACTTTTGTTTTATCACAATAAATATTAAAGTTATCCCTTAGTTCTTTGTATTTGAAATGCAGATGTACTAGCTTTGATTTATTTTTATTCTAGTAATTTAGAGTAACTAAGTAGGAATTCTGTATCAAAGTGCCTAACATACAGCTGTTGTTTAAAGTTATCTGAATGGAGCTCCTGGGTGGCTCAGTCAGTTTAGCATCCGACTTTGGCTCAGGTCATGATCTCACAGTCCCTGTGTTCGAGCCCCGCATCAGGCTCTGAGCTGACAGCTTCAGATTCTGTCTCCTTCTCTCTCTGCCCCTCCCCCATTCACTTTGTTTCTCTCTCTCTCAAAATAAAGACAAAAATTTTTTTTCATTTAACAGGATATCATAGGCCTCTTACTAAGCAATAAATTTGTATCTCTGATTTTATGGATATTCTGTGGTATGTAGTCAGTCATTGATTCATGGATATTTAAGTCTTTTAGAATATTTTTTTTCGTAGCATAGAAGGAATTAAATGTGTATTTTTGTAAATTGTTCCAGTATCTCCTCAGAGAGTGGAATTATTTATGTAAAGAGTAAGTCCTTTAGGTTATTTAATATGTATTTAACCGTTCACTTTCAAAAGGATCTGATGTGCCCTCAAAATAATATACGACAGGACAAGTAAAAATAAGAATTGAACAAACTGACAAAAAGAAATAGAAGGGGCGCCTGGGTGGCTCAGTCGGTTAAGTGTCTGACTCTTAATTTTGGCTCAGGTCACTATCTCATGGTTCATGAGTTTGAACCCTGCATCAGGCTCTGCAATGACAGCGTGGAACCTGCTTGGGATTCTCTCTCTCTCTCTCTCTCTCTCTCTCTCTCTCTCTCTCTCTCCAATGACAGCATGGAGCCTGCTTGGGATTCTCTCTCTCTCTCTCTCTCTCTCTCTCTCTCTGTTTCTGTCTCTGCCTCTCTCTGTCTCTCTCTCTCTCTCTGCCCCTCCCCTGCTCACACATGAACTCTTTCTTTCTCTAGAAATAAATAAACATTAAGAAGAAGAAGTAGAATACCTACCTGGCACTGCGGTTTGTTCACTTACTCTAGTGGCATATGGATTCACCTGAAAACATTTGATATTTCATAGAAAAACAATCACCCGACGAGCTCTGATCTGAGGGAAAAAATGACTAAAAATCAGTGATTTTCTTATAATCAGAATATTAATATATGTCAGAAAAGGACATTTTGCATAGCGGTTGCATTTACATTGGGCTTTTTTAAAAGTTATTTTTAATGTTTGTTTATTTTTAAGAGATAGAGAGAGATAGAGCATGAGCTGGGGAAGAGCAGAGAGAGAGGGAGACACAGAACTGGAAGCAGGCTCCAGGCTCCGAGCTGTCAGCACAGAGCCTGACATGGGGCTCCACTCACGGACCACAAAATCATGACCTGAACCAAAGCGAGATGTTTAACCTACTGAGCCACCCAGGCACATCCTTTTTTTTTTTTCTTTTGTTTTTTTTTAATTATTTGTTTATTTTTGAAAAAGAGAGAGAGGAGAGAGAAAATCCCAGGCAGGCTCTGCACTGCCAGCACTGTCAGCACAGAGCCTGATGCAGGGCTCAAACTCCAAAATGTGAAATTGTGAACTGAGCCAAAATGAAGAATCAGATGCTTAAACACCTGAGCCACCCAGGCCCCTCTCTCACAAACTCTTAAACTGCAGGAACTATGGGATGATATATCCCAAGAAGAATCTGTCATACAGGTCTATTCTTTGGATTTCAGGACAGAAATACCATAACTCTTAGTTATGGTAAAGGTCGTTTTGCTTTTCTCCTGTGGAAAAATTAAAGAGCATATCAGAGATATGATAGCCTTCCCTTCAACACAAACCAGAGTCTTCTCAGGAAGTATACTGCATGAGCAGTTGGTTGAGGCCACAAAACAGAACTCTTATTATCCTGGAAATTCTGAAAAGAAACACAGCCATAGGTAGCTCATTTTATTCATTGAAAATGTCACAAAGGGGGCGCCTGGGTGGCTCAGTCGGTTAAGCATCTGACTTCGGCTCGGGTCATGATCTGACGGTTCATGGGTGTGAGCCCCGTGTCGGGCTCTGGGCTGACAGCTAGCTCAGACCCAGGAGCCTTCTTCGGATTCTGCGTCTCCCTCTCTCTCTGATCCTCCACTGCTCAAGCTGCCTCTCTCTCTCTCTCAGAAATAAATAAAAAACATTTAAAAAAAAGTCACAAAGGTGCATAGTACATCTAACTTTAAGTGACTGTCTCTGTGGCCTCCATGAAAACCTCATTTGCAGAAGATAGACCTAATAAAAATGAGTAGTTTGCCATATGTGCAAATTGGGTGAATGATATTTAATTCTAAGAAAATGATCAATTGTGACTCAGTTGAGAATAGTGCATTTTATACCATAAATTAAGGAGGCCTTTGTAGTGGAGACATTAATGCTGATGCAGTTTTACTAAGCATGTGAATACGTAATATTTCCTTTGGGGAAACACTACAGTGAAATCGTTAGAAGCCCAGACTCTGGAGTTAGGTGGCCCGGGTCACGCCCCGGTTCTGCCACTTACTAGTTGTGTTACCATAGACAAGTGCCTTTAGCCTGGGTCTCCTCAACTCAGTATCGGGATAGTAATTGTAGCCTGTGTCGCGTGGATATTTTGAGGATCAAGTGAAAGGATGCACATCGCCTGCCTCACGGTAATTACCCCAAAGTTAGCTGTCCTCACTGTTAATAGTCATGTGTATTTCTCTGCCTTGCTTAGAATTGCGTTCCCATTGGAGAGCAGCTTCAGTCCATTCTGGGAAATGCTAGCTACAAACGCTTGGCTGACCTGCAGTCGTCATCTGCTTCAGGAGCCTTCGACAAGTCCCCGCCCACGCCTTTTCCTTTCAGAACCGGATTGACCTCTGGAAACGTGATGGAAGACTTAAAAGCTCACATTGATAAAAGTCCACAGCCGCCTGGTGGAGGAAAGACCACAGACCTCAAAGAGTATAAAACTGTGTCACAAAGCCATGGTCTTTTCGAGAAAGACCTCAGAAATACAGTTTCTTCTTTGCTACCAAAGAAAGCAAGTGACAGTTCCAGTATCCCTAACTCTGACTTGCTGCCTTTTCTCCAGAATTTATGTAGTCAAGTGAACCATCTCTGCGTGGGACGTAGCACTAACTGGCAGGAAAACCTCACTAAGACTGGTGAAGGCATTGCTGGTGCTGTGTAAGTATTTAAGACAAGTGTGATTTAGATTTCGTAGGTGGAAGAATCAGTTGGAGGAGAACATTTGTTTCACTAACTACTGCCTAAAAATGTTTCCAGAGGTTATTTTAGGAGCTTCCCCATTTTACATATTGATGTACTTACAGGGAATAAATATTAACATACTTCTAGGGAATAAATATTCTGTAGAGTAGAATGGTTTTCTTTTAAAGAAGTGTCTGAGACTGAAGATGTTGGTCACTTCTGAGGCATTATATGGAAGGGGTACAAGCGTCAAATAAGGGTTGGAGTGGAAAGTTATCTGTATAATTGAGGAGGAGCTGTGGGAACCATAATATAAATATTTTGTGCTTGATTATAATCACTGAGTCATCATGGTAGATTTTCTTGTAGATCTTCTTTGCTAGAGGCTAATTTTAGTCTAGTCATCAATGACATTTTTAAGCTTATAATCATTTATGGTGTACAGGCTCTCATCTGCTGATTTCATAATTCTAATTTTTTTATAGTCTTGGTTTCATTAATGGGTGGCTAAGTATTTGGTATGTTTCCCCATTCTTCATGTAGATGTAATGTGTCAGAATATTGCACTAGACTGAAATTCATGACTCTAGTCATAGTTCTGGCTTAACTACTGGCCTTACTGTTTAACTCTTGTGGCTGAGATTTTTTTTCACATGTAAAATGAGGTAGTTTTATTGGTTGACATTTTCTTCAGGTCTCCAATAGCGTTGAAACTTGAGGAGTTTAGTAAGTTATTGAAAAAAAGCATTGTTTTTTTCTGTAAGGGTATTTGTTACTTAGTATCATTTTTTAGTAAGGATACTCAGTAAGGAAAAAAAAAAGTTATTCTTTAGTTGCTGATAGATTACATCAGTGAACTCTAGTTGGTATGTGTTACAGTAAACAAACAAAACAAAATAAAGCAAACAAAAACAAATTAAGTTGAAAGTAAAAATTGCCCTGGGGCCAGGTGAGATTGGATGTCTCCATTTCTCTCAGATCGGTCAGTGCAAGATGAACTGACCTTTTTCAAAATTTTAAAGAGAAAGGAAAAGAATTTTATTGGAGGCCAGGTTAACACAGTTGTGGGGATTATTCAGTCTTCACAAAGAAGAGAGTGTTCTGGGAAGGAACAGTGGGTACAGGGTGATAGGTGTTTTTACCTAAAGATTTAGAAATCACCATAATGAAGGACAGTCCAGAGTTAATGGACTTTATGTTACATTTTTCGTATGTGCAAGACTTTATGACTTTATTATTATTTTTTTATGTTTATTTTTAAGAGAGAGACACAATGTGCGAGTGCGGGGGGAAACACAGATTCTGAAACAGGCTCCAGGCTCTGAGCTGTCAGCACAGAGCCCAATACAGTGTTTGAACTCCATACTGTGAGATCATGACCTAGGCCGAAGTGGGACACCCAACCAACTGAGCCACCCAGGCGACCCCGTATGATTTTAATCTTTTGGTGTTTTTTTTTTTAATCTTTATGCTTGAATTGGACTTTATTTATTTATTTATTTATTTATTTGTTTGTTTACTTACTTATTTATTTAACAAAGCAGACATATAATGTATGCTCCGTGAAAAGCAGACCCCATGCTTTGAGGTTTTGCTGAGTCATTTTGACCTTGGTAAAATGGTCGTGACCTAAGCTGAAATCAGGAGTCTGATGCTTAACCAACTGATCCACCCAGGTACCCCTGGAAAAAAAAGAAAAAACATAACGGTTTGAAAAATCTGTCCTATATTCTAGAGTGGTGTTCTAAATTTTTTGGTTTTTACACTCTGAAATATAATTGAGGATTCTAAAGAACCCTTATGTAGAGAATATAAAAAATTTGAAACCCATTCTATAGTAACATAACAATTTTTATGAAAAAATACGGTTTCTAAAAAAGTTTCATAAGAATGGTATTATTTTAAATTTTTTTTTTTTAATGTTTTATTTATTTCTAGGAGAGAGAGAGAGAGAGACAGCGTGAGCAGGGGAGGGTCAGAGAGAGAGGGAGTCACAGACTGAAATAGGCTCCAGGCTCTGAGCTGGCAGTCAGCACAGAGCCCGACGCGGGGCTCGAACCCACGAACCGCGAGATCATGACCTAAGCGAAAGTCGGACGCTTAACCGACTAAGCCACCCAGGCGCCCCAGAATGGTATTATTTTAAATGTATAAAATTGGGGGTATCTGGGTGGCTCAATCAGTTAAGTATTCTACCCTTGATATCGGCTGAGGTCACGATCTCACAGTTCTTGAGTTCGAGCCCCACATGGGACTCTCCACACTGTCAGTGCAGATCCTGCTTGGGATTCTCTCTCTCTCTGCCCTCCCTCCCCCCATTCACTTTCTCTCTCTCAAAATAAATAAATAAACTTAAAAAATATCAATTCATAAAATTGATAATAGTTTTTGGTCGCATTCTCCTGTATGTTGCATTATAGCGTGTCATCAATAGCTTGTAAGACCGTAGAGGTACCAAGAGCAAACTGAGTTAACCTCTGAAAAAGTATTTATTCATACCCTAAACTTACTACCTTAGGAAAGTCTAAGGAACAGGAAAATACGCAACCACAACTTCTGTTGATTATCAGAGCAGTGACATTACACCTTGTGTAGCTTCGAGACAATGTCACTGAATGTTCATGAGAATCCGAGGATGAAACGTTCAGATGACATCGCAGCAGTAGTACAGAACCACTTGTGACTTCCTGGGAGCTGAAAAGTCACAGCGACCCCAGGGCTTTGTGGACCATACTCTGAAGGTCACTGTCCTAGTGTTTGTTGGTTGTGAACTTGAGCAACTGGAGTGCTTTTTACTATTCTCATTTCTGTTTGCCCATTCCAGTTACATTCATTTTTAGATGTTTTCATATTAGGTTAGAAAAAAACTTTCTGGTACTTACGTGGTGAAAAAAGACTGAACTTTAAATTGTAGGGTTGTTTAGGGAAGTTCTTAGAAGACAGGTGGAGACCTTTAAAAATCAGACAATATCACTGAAGTCTTAGGACACTGAGCCACAGGAGTTTGGGAAGAGAGAGACAGAGTACGCTTGGAAGGAACCTCAGAAGGCTGCCTCAAGAAACAAGCCAATCTACAAATGGTGGAGAGCCCCAAATACCACTACCAGTAGGGAAACAAAATAACCAAATGCTCAACAAGAGAAACCAAGAGATACCATCCAAAGAATACTTCCTGAACATACAGCCCTGAACAGTCAAAGAGCCCTTTCTAATACAGCAGAACTCGCAGGGGCCGAGTGTACACAAGCTTTTAAAATTAACAAGAGATAGAAAGCTAACCAAAATGATGAAACGGAAGAACTCTCCTCCAAAGAAATCCAGGAAGAAATGAACTGCTCAAAACAGATATAAGCAACATAACTGAACAAGAATTTAGAACAATAATCATAAAATTAATCACCAGGCTTGAAAAAAGCATGGAGGACATCAGAGAAACTATGGCTACAAACAATATGGAGCTTAAAAATAATTATGGTGAATTTTAAAATGGATAAATGAGATACATAATAAACTGGAAGCGTCCAATGCACGGATTGAAGAGGCAGAAAGGAGAGTAAGTGATTTAGAAGACACTATTATAGAAAAAGAAGAATCTGAGAAAAAGAGAGATAAACCGATCCAGGAGCATGAAAGAAAAATTTGAGAGCTCAGCGATACAATCAAACAGAACAATATCTGTATCATAGGAATTCCAGAAGAGGAAGAGAGAGGGAAAGGTGCTGAAGGAGTCCTGGAACAAATTATAGCAGAGAACTTCCCCAACCTGGAGAGGGAAGTAGACGTTGAAATTCAAGAGGCACAGAGAACTCCCCTCAGACGTAACTTGAATCGATCATCTGCACAACATATCATAGTGAAACTGGCAAAATATAAGGACAAAGAGAGAATTTTGAAAGCAGCTAGGGAGAAAAGGGCCCTAACATACAAAGGGAAACCTATCAGAGTGGTGACAGACCTATCTAATGAAACTTGGCAGCCCAGAAAGGAATGGAAGGAGATCTTCAATGTGATGAACAGAAAAAATAAGCAGCCAAGAATCCTCTATCCAGTAAGCCTGTCATTCAGAATAGAAGGAGAGATAAAAGTCTTTCCAAATAAATAACAATTGAAAGAATTTGTCACCACTAAGCCAGCACAACAAGAAATCCTGAGGGGGACTCTCTGAGGGAAGTGTTGCAAGGAATGCAAGATACCAGAAACACCACCACAAGCATGAATCCCACAAAGGACACAATGACTCTAAACCCACATATTTTAATAATAACACTGAATGTAAATTGGCTGAATGCTCCAATCAAAAGACATAGGGTAGCAGAATGGAAAAAAAACAAAATCCATCTATTTGCTGTCTACAAGAAACACATTTTAGACTGGAAGATACCTTCAGATTAAAAGTAAGGGGATGGAGCAATATCTGTCATGCTATGGGAAGTCAAAAGAAAGCTGGAGTAGCTATCCTTATATCAGACAAACTGGACTTTAAATTTAAGACAGTAAGAAGGGATGAAGAAGGGCATTATATAATAATTACAGGGTCTATCCATCAGGAAGAACTAACAATTATAAATGTCTACGCATCGAATACGTGCTCCCATATTTAAATATTTAAAACAATCACAAACAGAAACAATCTTATAGATAAGAATGTGCTAATAGCAGGGGACTTTAATACTCCACTTACAGCAATGGATAGATCAACCAGACAGAAAATCATTAAAGAAACAATTGACTTGAATGACACATTGGAACAGATGGATCTGACAGATATATTTAGAACTCTACATCCTGAGGCCATGGAATTCACTTTCTTCTCAAGTGCGCATGGCACATTCTCCAAGATAGATCACATACTGGGACATAAAGCAGCCCTCAACAAATATAAAAGAATTGAAATCATACCATGCACCCTTTCAGATCATAATGCTTTGAAACTTGAAATCAATCACAGGAAGAAGTCTGGAAAACCTCCAAAAACACGGAGGTTAAAGAACACCCTACTAAAGTATGAATGGGCCAATCAGGCAATTAGAGAAGAAATTTAAAAATATATGGAAACAAATGACAGTGAAAATACAACAATCCAAAATCTATGGGATGTGGCAAAGGCAGTCCTAAGAGGAAAGTACATTGCACTCGAGGCCTATTTCAAGAAATTAGAAAAAGCACAATTACAAAATCTAATAGCTCACCTAAAGGAAATAGAGGCAGAGCAACAAGAGCACCCCAAACCCAGTAGAGGAAGAGAAATAGTAAAAACCAGAGCAGAAATAAACAACATAGAGACCAAGAAACAATTGAACACATCAATGAAATCAAGAGTTGGTTTCTTGAAAAAATAAACAAAATTGACAAACCTCTAGCCAGGCTTCCCAAAAAGAAAAGAAAGAGCACCCAAATAGACAAAATCATGAATGAAAATGGACTTATTACAACCAACCCGTCAGAAATACAAGCAATTATCAGGGAATACTATGAAAAATTACATGCCAACAAATTGGACAACTTAGAAGAAATGGACAAATTCTTAAACACACACTCACTACCAAAATTCACACGGGAAGAAATAGAAAATCTGAACAGACCCATAACTAGTGAAGAAATCAAATCAGTTATCAAAAATCTCCCAACAAATAAGAGCCCTGGACTTGATGGCTTCCCTGGGGAATTCTACCAGACATTTAAAACAGAATTAGTACCAACTCTTTTCAAGCTATTTCAAAAAATAGAAATCGAAGGAAAACTTCCAGACTCATTTTTTGAAGCCAGCATCACTCTGATTCCCAAGCCAGACAGAGATCCAGCAAAAAAAGAGAACTACAGGCCAATATCCTTGATGAATATGGATGCAAAAATCCTCAACAAGATCCTTGCAAATCGAATCCAACAGCACATAAAAAGAATTCTCCACAAGATCAAGTGGGATTCATTCCTGGGTTATAGGGCTGGTTCAATATTCGCAAATCAATCAATGTGATACATCACATCAACAAAAGAAAAGATAAAAACCATATGATCCTGTCGATAAATGCAGAAAAAGCATTTGACAAAATACAGCATCCCTTCTTAATAAAGACCATTGAGAAAGTCGGAATAGAAGGAACTTACTTAAACATCATAAAAGCCATCTATGAGAAGCCCTCAGCTAACATTATCCTCAACAGGGAAAAACTGAGAGCTTTCCCCCTGAGATCAGGAACACGACAGGGATGTCCACGCTCACCACTGCTGTTTTACATAGTGCTGGAAGTCCTAGCATCAGCCATCAGACAACAAAAGGAAATCAAAGGCATCAGAATTGGCAAAGAAGAAGTCAAACTTTCACTTTTCCCATACGACATGATACTCTACATAGAAAACCCGACATACTCCACCAGAAGCCTACTTGAACTAATCCAAGAATTCAGCAAAGTTTCAGGGTACAAAATCAACGTACAGAAATCGGTTGCATTCTTATACACCAACAATGAAGTAACAGAAAGAGAAATCAAGAAACTGATCCCATTCACAACTGCACAAAAAACCATAAAGTACCTAGGAATAAACCTAACCCAGGATATGAGAAATCTGTATGATGAAAAGTTAGAAAACTTATGAAGGAAACTGAAGAAGACACCAAGAAATGGAAAAACATTCCATGCTCATGGATTGGAAGAATAAATATAGTTAAAATGTCATTACTACCCAAAGCAATCTACACATTCAATGCAATCCCAATCAAAATTGCACCAGCATACTAATCAAAACTAGAAGAAACTATCCTAAAATTTGTATGGAACCACAAAAGACCCCGAATAGCCAAAGTAATATTGAAGAAGAAAACCAAAACAGGAGGTATCACCATCCCAGACTTTAGCCTCTACTACAAAGCTGTCATCATCAAGATAGTATGGTATTGGCACAAAAACAGACACATAGACCAATGGAATAGAATTGAGAGCTCAGAAGTGGACCCAAAAGTATACAGCGAACTAATCTTTGACAAAGCGGGAAAGAGTATCCAATGGAAAAAAGACAACCTTTTTAACAGATGGTGTTGGGAGAACTGGACAGCATCATGCAGAAGAATGAAACTAGATCATTTTCTCACACCATACACAAAACTAAACTCAAAATGGATAAAGGACCTGAACATGAGACAGTACACCATCAAAACCTTAGAGGAGAAAGCAGGAAACAACCTCCTTGACTTCCACAGCAGCAGTTTCTTACTTGACACATTCCCAAAAATGAAAGAATCAAGAGCAAAATTAAACTATTGGGACCTCATCAAGATTAAAAGCTTCTGCACAGCAAAGGAAACAATCCATAAAATTAATAGGCAACCGACGGAATGGGATAAAGGGTTAATATCCAAAATCTATAAGGAACTCACCAAACTCCACACCCAAAAAACAAACCCAGTGAAGAAATGGGCAGAAGATATGAACAGACACTTCTCCAAAGAGGACATCCAGATGGCCAACAGACACATGAAACGATGCTCAGCATCCCTCCTCATCAGGGAAATACAAATCAAAACCACACTGAGATACCACCTCATGCCAGTCAGAGTGGCTAAAATGAGCAAATCAGAAGACTCTAGATGCTGGCGAGGATGTGGAGAAACGGG